GACCTGCGGGCGCCGGGACATGCGAGGATGGGGTCTGCCAGTTACTCAGAGTTATAGTATTATATTTTAACAGTGCTAACTTGTCAAGTGATTCTTGCTCCCGTTTGTACGTGGTGTTATTGAAATGTATTGTTTGAGCTGAAAGCTGGTCGCCCGCCGGCCACGCTAATATATTTATTTGTAGGTATTTATATAATGAAATATAAAGCCTAGATTTATGGAGTCCCTAGATCACCTTATAAACTATATCAAACGAATATTTTCTGTTCTCCTTTTTAACCATTCAGCATTTGTTAGTCACGTCCCCTTGCCCTCCTTACGACCCGCAGGACCATCCCCGGTATATATTTTTTGATACTGTACACATGTGGTGTTTCTATGTGCAAAAAAAAAAAAAAATCGTTATCTAAAGCTAAACAAGCTATTATAGAAATTGCTGCTATTAGAAATGTCTAAACTATAAGCTTCCAATTATTAATTGCTTGAATGTAAATATTAAATGGAGATGTTGAAAGTGCATTTGATGTTCTGCAGCTAGTGTAGATCGGATTGCAAAGCCCAGCTGCTGGGAGGTGGAGCGCAAGCTGCCAGCGGCGCTTCCTGGTCCGAGGGCTGTGTCACGGGGGAAGAAATGTATCATGCAATCACTGCAAAGGACTATAAACCTTTACAAAAACTACCGGGATTCGGAGTGCGTTTGTTACTGCATACAGACGGCCCAGAGAGCATCCCTGTGCGGGCCGGAGGTGGCCGGGGTGCCCCGGAGCAGGTACCTGCAGGATCAAATCCCCTCCGAGATGCAGCTTATCGAATATAGTTCTGGCTCTTCCCCAAAAGTGCGGACAAGAGGGCAGGCAGCGAGGCCACAGGAGCCGCTGGTTCGATGTTCCCCTCTCCCCGCAGTGCCGAGGCAAGGCTGGGCTTCTCCAAAGCAGAATGGGCTGCGCGAGGTCTGCGCTGGGAAACCTGGAAGGCCTCTGGGAGCGCGGGCTGGGAAGGTGGCTGCGATGGATGGGGGATTGTAGTGCTCAGCCTGACGCTGCCACACCAGCGGCATTATCCCGGTATTGGGAAGGATCGTGATTAGATGAGTTGAACTTTTCCAGAAAGGAAGATGGTCCAAATTCCACAAAAAAGCCTGCAGACGTCTCTGAACTAGATTAATAATTGCTGGAGTCCACTGAAAAATAGAGTGCAGGGCTAATTCTTGGCTCGCAGGAAGGTGGCAACCTAGCAGCGTGCCCGTGGTGCCCGTCTGCACGTGGCTGAGAATCAGCGCTGGGTCCCCGCTCCCCCTGGGACCCCCTGTAATGTTCCCAAGCACGAGCCAGGTGCTCACGCAGTACCTGCCCTCTGAGTCTTGAGCTCGCCAGACTGGCACAGTTGCCAGCCCTTCTCGTCGTGGGCTTTTCCTTGAAGTTGATTTCTTTTCCGGAAAAGCACTTAGTTGAAATATTGTCATTGGTGGCACATGAACGTGTATGGACGAGCGCATCGAGCTTGTGAGCAGCAGAGTTAATCGGCTTGGGTAAGGCGGACCCTGCAGTGGTGCTGGAGCTGCCTGAAGACGGGGGTGAGTTGTCCCCGCGGCCTGCAAGGGCCGAGGGGTGGGCAGCACCCTGCGGGCTCAGCCCCTGGCTCCTGCTGTGGCACGGCATGTGTCTGTCCGGGTGTGTGGCGCTGCTGTTGCCAAGGCGAAAATCAACCCCTCGGTCTTGTGCTGGGCCATCTCGTCTGCCCGGGCTTCATTTGATTTAAATAAATTTGCAGCCGTTCCTTTGCAAATCCTGGGGGTTACATGGCATTGGCAGAAAGGGGGGGCAGCATCCAGTGGGCTGAGGGGGCTTGTTGGCCGCTGTGGGAGCTGTGTCAGCCCCTGTCCTGCCGACAGACGTTGTGCCGGAGCCAGGGCGCTTTTCCAAGGCAGCTTGGGGTAAATCGGAGGAAGAGCGACTGTTGAGTGTGTGGATGCCATTTGCTCAGCTGGGACAGCCTTGGAGGTTTGTAGCCGATGGGACAACCTCAACTGTGGACACGGTTGTCGCAGGCGTTGGTTTTGGTCTGGTGTAGCTCAGGTCTGCTGCTCGGTGTGCTGGTGTGGTGGTGGGAAGGGCTTCTGGGAGCTCACACCAGGAAGGTGGCTCCCTGCCAGCTGTTTGGTGGGACTGGTTCGTGTGGGCAAGGTCAGTGCTGACAGCTCAGTTCAGCTCCTGGTTCAGTTGATGCTCCAAAGTAAATGGAAACTTGTGCAATAGGTTTAGTGCCTGGGATTTTCACCAGCCGGCATGGGGACCCCAAAGTCTGATTGTACGTGCGCAGGGAGCAAGTGGAAATAGGCAAACACTGATTAAAATCAACGTTTTGCCTGTTAACTGCTGAATCTTAAGAGGGTTTTAATCAACTCTATGTGTCACCGGGGCTGGGCGAGTGATGGGCAGAGGCAGCAGCAGCCGAGGTGCAGGGTGCAGGTGTCGGGGCAGGAGCCTGGGGGCTGTGCGGGTGAACCCCAGCCCGCACCAGGGAGGATGCCCAGGGGTGGTTCAGTGGGAAGCGTTTCCCTGCAGTCCCAGGCTGAGCTGGCAGAGCAGACAATCAGAAATGATGCATTTCCCTTGATTAATTAAGCTAATGGTTATCTGAAAACAAAAATGGCATGGAAGAGGAGACGCATGCTCAGAATGCAAAATGTGATTTATGAAAGGGGAAGTGCAGCTCGATGGGAGCCAGTCCAGGAGCGGGGCTGGGCAGGCGGCTCGCTCTGGGGCAGGGTGTCTGCAAAAGGAGAACTTTTTCTTTAGCCAGACACAGGTAGAGGAAACCCACGGGGTTTCTCGCGCAGTAGGACGTGTCTTTTAAACTTGGGCTTGCAGGCTCCTGGCCAAAGGCTGAGCATCGCTGCCGTGAGCGGGGTCAGCAGCTTCCTTCTCTAGTCTGTAGGTGGGTGTGACTCCTGGCAATTAATAACTGCTTGCAGGTTCACGGCTGGCTTAGCTCGTTAGTAGTTTTGAAAACGGATTATATTGTGTTGCCCGTTTTTAAGGAAACAAGGTTCCCCTGAGCGTGTGCTTTCGGAGCTTCCTTTCCCTTCGCCCACCGCCGCTCCATGAGACATAGAAGCACCTCAAATATTGTCTCTGCCGGCAGTAGCTGTGGTTTGTTTGAGGCACCATTTCCCGGAAACCACATAGCCAGATATTTCTTAGTTTAATAGTTTGATCGTGTTTATCACAACTCCGGCAGCTTCCTGTGCAGGGAAAGGTGTGATAAGTAGTTACTGGTTTAAAAGATACACCCTCCCCTTGCTTTGTGCCCATTGGCTGGGAAAGATGAAGTGTTTAGGATATGAATTACTTATTCATACCGCTCTCCTTCCCTGTTAAGTGCATCAACCCTAAATGCCTGTTACTGAGCAAATTAATGCAAAGTCCACTATGACTTCCACTGGTTATCAAAGTGATCCAGGACGAGATGGAGCGTCACTGTGCTCCATTAGGAAGACTGGTGTGCGCTACATTAATGTATTTCCCAGGAATGTGTTAACCTCTGCTTGGTTTGGATTTATTCCAGACAAACATTTGCTGATTTAAAAGGAGAATTTGTGTTCGTATTTTAGCTCTTCTGAAAGGGTCGGATGCATCCCTCTAGACATGGCCGTGCTGAGAGGAGGGATGGCAAATTTGTGCTGTAAAGCTGCTTTCAGGTTCTCCCCTCCCCAGCCATGGAGGTACCAGTGTCTGCACCAGTGCTGGGTTGGAATCCAGCCGCCGGCCCCCCCTTGCTGAGCCCTGTGGTTTTGGCAGGCGTCGGTGCCATCCCCGCTCCACGGGAGGTGACGGAAACACCATCCCCACGCAACGGGCACAGGGCAGCCGGCAAGGTGGGCCCCGGGCTCGGTGGAAGAGATTGCCTCTCTGGGGTGAGGATGCTGTTAAAGGGAAGGATGTTAAACAAACACACGACAGCAGCTGATGTCTTTTAATTAGAATAAGAAACAGCCTCGTGGGGACTGGGAGACTTACAGGTCCAGACTGGGAATGGGAGAGGAGCTCCTCCCTGGAGAAGGGCAGAAGGTGTCAGTGGCCGTATGTGATGGGAAGCAGAGGATTTCCCAGGCAGTCGGGGCACTGGGTGCTTTTGCTCATGTGTGGGTGGGGGCAGCTCCTCCATGCAGTTGTTGCATGCGTTTTGTGAGGGTTTTTTTCCCTTTATTTTCCCTGTTCTTCTCTCCTTTTGCTATGCGATGCCGGGAGCTGACTGTGTGACTTTGCTGAACGCGGTGGCCTCAGCATCTCTCCCCCACTGGAGAAGCCAGCAACAAGGTAAAGCATTCATGGTCATGTTGGGGAGGGGGGGTGAAAAAAAAAAGAAACTCACTGTTCAGGCTGCCTTTTTCCAGGCCTGTCCCCTCGAGCACAGCAGGGGCTGGACGGCTCAGCCATGCACGTGTTAGCTGCTATAACCCTTTTTAACCAAAGCTGTATCCAGTGGGACTGGTCGAGCAGCAGAGGCCTGCTGCCGAGGGTTTTTTGCTGGATTTTTGGTGGGCCTGGTGCCCCTCTGCCTGGGAGAGCGAGACCAGGGTGCAGCCCCCACCACCGAACCAGGGCAGCTGGGAGGGGGCTTCCCCCGGTTCTGCCCCAAGCCCCCTCAGCTCCCCCACCTCACGGGGCTGCCTCTGGTTTGGACAGTCGAAAATGCCTGGCAGTAGGAAATCCTCAGTCTCCTCTGCAGATAAGATCATTTGGATTCAGCCCAG